CAGGCACGCGCCACCATGCCCAGCTAATTTTTTGTATTTTTAGTAGAGGCGGGGTTTCACCATGTTGACCAGGATGGTCTCGATCTCTTGACCTCGTGATCCACCCGCCTCGGCCTACTGGTCTTTTTAAGCTGGCTTTTTGAGAATAACCCCCATACTGTCTTGATCTTCGCTAGGAGCATTTTTTAAATTTACTAAATTAAATGAAATCCACATAAATGGACTTTAGTAGAGACAGTAAGGTAGAAAGAGACTATAATTCAAAAAAGCCATAACTTTGTAAATATTTGTAAAAATAATTTTGAAGTCTAAATTTTTCACACTTCCTAGGAAAAAAATGAATTTATGTAAACTTCTGACTTAAAGAACACCTAGTTTTCTTTTTCCAGATTAGCTATAGCAAGAAACAAACAAAAATCCTTACTCTAGTGCAGACATATAACTGCAAAGCTAAGGCTCCTTTTTTTTTTTTTTTTTTTTTTTTTTTTTTTTATTTTTTTTTTTTTTTTTTTTTTTTTTTTTTTTTTTTTAAAGATGGGGTTTCACCATGTTGGTCAGGCTGGTCTTGAACTCCCAACCTTAGGTGATCCGCCCACCTTGGCCTCCAAAGTGCTTGGATTACAGGCGTAAACCACCACGCCCGGCCCAAAGCTAAGGCTTCCTAAACCCTGTCAGAGAAAGTCTCCAGTTTCATATATCCCCTACTATGACCTTATATAAATGAGACTCAGTCCTGCCTGGAAAAATGAAAACAAAAAAACCAAAAGGCTGAATCCTTTAGGTACTATATGAGTTGACAGCAATTGAACCCAACTATCCAAATGGGGGTACAGATATTTAGACTGCAACAAAAAACCAGCTCAGAAATGTAAAACTTCCCTTAGGCCATGCTGTCCCAGAATTACAGGGTCAGAGTAAAGTGTTGTACGTACTAAAAGGCTATTCCTGGGCAAGTTTGCACTCAGGCTGCTAAGAATTTCCACTAGGCTTTAAATTATGCTATTCGTCACTGAGCAACTGAAGGCCATCTACCCCCAAGTTTCTCCCACACTTCCTCCCTGGTGTCTCCACAAATAAAAGAGAGACCTTATACCACCACTGTATGAACTAAAGACAGACTTTCACAGTCTAACCATGAAAAGAAGTTTCCATGTTATTCTGCCATTTACTAATGAGGCTCCGGTTGCATATTTTGGATGCTGAGGTGGGTTCTTGTAAACTTGTAAAGTTCTTGTAAACTGTCTTATCTGAGCACACAAAATGGTTGCATAACCTGATCTGTTGCAGCTCCTGATGTTTTTCTTTCGGCATACACACAGTCCATCCAGGTGAAAAAATCAATCCAGACACCTCTATGCTCAGGCTGTTGTTCAAATAAACTTCTACCCCCTCTCTAGGCTCTTCACCTCCTGCCTTCTAGTTTTATTTTGTTATTAAGAGAGGCAGGCAACTCCACAGAATTCAAGGTGCTACTCCTTGGTAAACTATTAGCTGCATAGTGAACTCAGTATGGCTTCATTAATAGTAGGATCTGCAGGAGGTCAGAAAGAGACTAACCCCCGCCCTCCCCACCACCACCAACCAAAGAGGTGGACATTAGCAGTCTTTTCCCCTTTCACCAGAGGTTGAACAGAAAAAGAGAATACTACATGTTTGCATCACCGGAACAAGAACTGGGTGGGTTTTCCCTGGGAATCCAGAGTGATCAGGCCCTGCAAAACTAATGCCTAGAGCTATGCAACAAGCAGGGTTCACAGTTGAGTGAACATCAATGCATAATGAGTGGAGGCATTTCAATGCAAATAAACGCTGAATATGAAGGATTAAAGAAAGGGGAAATTAATCTTTTTCATAACACAGGGCACATTTTTTTCTCTCCCTTGCTCTCTCTAAGTCATACACACAACTGCTGGAGGGAGTCCAACTTCCCCAGTGTGGTAGTGTTGCTTTATAAAAAGCAGAACATACACATTTAAGACCATGAATTTCCTCAGGATGCCAGCAACTGAGATTCTGACAGCTCTTCAGAACAGCCTCAGAAACAAAGTGTTTCACTAAGTATGGCCAGACTGACAAGCAAAAATCTCATTTCAAACCAACCTCTTCTTTTTCCAAAGCACAGAGCTTTCTAGGATGTGAATGGTTTAAAAGGTTTGATTTCAGCATTTGGAGGGTATTTGGATGTGTTTACTGAGGCAATTTTATTTTTCAGTTTGTTTCTAATTGCCCCATCCAAGTGACACTTTTGCAATACGAACAAAATAAATAGGGCAGCTTCATGCTGCTTTAGCAGGTGGCTCAGTCTCCTCCCAGTCTGAACCATTCATATCCTGGCTTCTCAAACCCAGCAACAAAGTGGAAGCATTTCTTCAGGTTATTCCTTCCAAAAAAAAAATTTTTTTTTTGCCCATGAGGGTTACTCAGCTTTTCACATTTCACTCAGACAGTTCCCTTCAAGAGACACTGGATTGGAGCGGAAAACTTGTTACAAACCTTTTTGTCCCATCACAGGTTTGTATTAAGCACAGGATTTCTCAAACATCTTATTATTCTACTGGATTATCCCTTTGATAAGAAACTTTAAAATCTTAGAGGATCCCTCAAAAAAAATCATTAGCCTAGGTTAAAAACTTTCTAACTGCAAATACAAGTCTCAGAAAGGAAAGAAATTTCCACCTTGTTCCTATCTCTTTTGATACTATTCTGAGAAAAATGTCAAAAGACTCAGCATTTTTAAAATAGGCTTTTATAAATAATGTATTCAAAGATTTTTGACCCATTACATAAAGTAGGAATCCCACTCCTTAAGAAAAATATACAGTTTTGGCAAGAGTTAAAGTTTGAGATATTCAAGCCTGATGCCAATCCTTCAGGTTTCTACTACTTCAATTCCAAAGGACCAGTTGATAGCAATTTTAGTACACAAAACTCCACTATGCTGTATAGTTCCTTTTCTCCTGGGTCAGACAGCTTTATTCTGCTTCATTAACCCCTTCTTTGCTCCTTGATGGATCTTGGAATCCAGTTTCCCTGTAAGGGAGAAAAAGAAGTCTCATTATTTATTTTTGTATTTGCAATGCAAATTTTTTGTAGCCTCCCAGGTCTTCTGGTTACTGTGTTCCTGTCACATTCAATTATCTTACTTCAGGACTCAGACACCTCCAAACTTCACAGTTTCATTCTATAAGAATAAGGAAGCAGTGGGAACACTGTACAGGGATACCCACATACATACAATGAGTGTACTAAGAATCAAATAAGTTAATTATTTCTAATTTTGTAGCTACTGAAAAGAAATATCACATTTTTAAGGGTGTTTGATGCTAAAGCAAATTTTTAAGAATATACACATGCAATCAAGGCAGGCATTTCACACAGTGGGAAACCCATTCCTCTGACCTGTTAACTAGCTGAGCATAATGCATGAACCTCCTTCACAGTGAGAAAAGCAGTTCAACACCCCTTTGCTGCCTCAGACTTAACAGGGGGAGTGACCTGCAACAGTGGAATAGAATCCACATGAATGCTTTACTGACAAAGGGCCCCTATCACCAGCTAAGAAGGGTAAAGGTCATAGGCTATATGACTCTTTAAGTGTTAAACTTAGAAAACAAGCAACCTTCCTATCCCAGGTGACCCTAATGAAACATATATTACTGATGTGGTCTCTGACTTCTTACTTCCCAGATCTACCAGGATAGAGTTTGGCTCAGTAGTAGCAGCCTTAGGAACCATCCATCTCATTAGGAGAATTTTTTTTTTTTTTTTTTTT